GAGAAAATGTGTCTTTTAAGCATGACCTTACAGCTATCCTTTCAATTTAGTAAGTCTGTGCTCTCAATGTCTACATCGTGGGCAATTTTTATCCCTATATTGAATATCCTTAGGTCAGAAAACTTGGGTTCAAATCTTTTCTTCATACTGGCACAATGAAGCAGGAATTTGCAAAAAACTCCAGAATATTGCTCCTGATATAGATGTGGTAAACTATTTGCAGAACTGCCAGTGTGTCAGTTAAATGCACTCTTCTCCAGCAAAGAAGATATCCTGTTTCTAGAGGTGTCATTGTTTTTGCATGTTTCATTTCATTTTGTCACTAACCATGGTTCTGAAAGACAAGCTGTTCTTATTTTCCATTTTACTATGTCACTTGACATAGGCTTATTTTTTGGCATTGCTTTTGCATAACTGTGCATAATCTGTTTTCCTAAAAATAAGATAATGTCCTTCTGATGCTTTTTAAAAGTGTTAGAATATTTTATGCATTATTTTTATGAGTTTAATCTTATGACTGCACCAGTAAATGAATTGTAAGAATTGTTTGTTGAAGTAAAAAAGTGCTGCACAAAAGTGATCAGAGGTTTTATGCAAAATACTGGTTTTAATTGGATCAGTATTGAAGTTGGTTTGATGTTTTGTCTGAATCATTCTTTGCACTTATTGCCCCTTACCTTCCTCTCTCCCTGTGTTCAGATACTTCCTTGACCATCTAACCTAAGTTTGACCTCTTATTTTTTGTTTCTTTATTCTACTTTATTAGCTTCATATCACATGACATACATATGTCTATTTATTGTCTTTTCGCCACCATTAAAATATAACTTTGACAACATGTGGGTAAAATTACAATATTTTCAGACTCTCTCACCTGGCCTTAGTGCATCTCCATATCAGTAGGTGTTTCCAAGTGGTGGAGAGAAGTACTCCATCTCCATATCAATAGGTGATTATAAGGGGGAGCAAGGGCATATCTGGATGGGAGAGATTGGATGGGGTCCCTTTTGCAGCGAGGTTGCAGAAGTAGACAATTGTTTGTAAGCAATAAATGGGTTTCTCCTACTTTATATCTCCCTTTGACTGATTTCATCTTCAAAGGTAATTTGCCCTGAGCTGGGAATGTATTTCCCTGTGGAGTTACATCTGGTGGTAGACAGCAGGACCTCTGAACCCAAAATCTGTCTTCATGGATGTGATGCCTGGGCAGCCTGACCCTAGGGATGGTGGGGAGATACCAAAAAAAACCTCTGTGGATGATGGGGAGGCCCCAGTGTTTGCAGCAGTAGATGGTGTGGCTTCACCTGGGAGCCCCCTATCTGTGTAGCTTCCACTTGGGGAGACCCTGGTGGAAAATTGTTCTAAGGTAAAGCACCTCCTAGATGGGTGGGCTCTTTCCCAGAACTGGGGGAAGGTTTAGACACTGGAAGCTGTGAAATTAGCCCTTTGTGAGACAGAAGACTGCTCAGAGACCCTGAGTGGTCATAAAGCAGCTGGAATTGTAGAATGTTTGTTTCTTGAGATAATGGAAAGGGTTATCGAGGAGAGAGACACACTTTGGCAGGAGAGAGACACACTTCAGCATTGCTTGGAGGAGCTGGGAGATAACCTATAGGATGCCCTTAAGAAAGAGAGACAGTTATTGAGAACACAGGTCACACTCCTCAAAGATACATTAGCAGCGAGGGAGGAGGCAGCCAGAGAATCTGTGTTGCAGGAGGCCATGGGGGAGGGGAAAGAAGGAGCCGTGCCTTCAGCCCACGACATGGTAGAGGGGATGTCATGGCAGGGTGAGGGTGTGGGGCTGAGGGCCAAACTGTTGCTGAAGCCACCTCCCAAGGCACCAGCCCCTCCCACGTTAAAGGCTCACATGGTTGTATTTAAGAAATTAAAAATGCAATAACCTTGGGCTCCTCATGGGGAGAAGCAACTCCTCCTCAGGTTGTGGAGCACTCCATGCTCTGTCCCTATACCCAGGATGAGCTGGTGGACATGAGCATCTGGTTTTGGCAGAAGCCTTTGGAACCTCTGCCTACACAGCTTTTGCATCTTTGGGATATGGGGGTGGGAAACATTGTTATGTCAGGTTCTGAAATGAGTAGACTGGTTCCCCTGATGACTCACCCTTTCCTCTGGCAGTGGTTGCAAGGTGTCCGTTACACCTCAGGGATTCAGGTGCTTCTGGATTGGCTGACAGCAGCCATCAGGGCAGTTTAACCTAATTAGGGTGATTTATCATACTTACCCACTAGCTGGAAAATGTATGCAGAGCTCCAGCAGGTGTTAGAGGAGTTGGGCATGAAAAACATCATCTATAATATGGACCCCCAGGACCCTGATGAGGAGTTCTTCATTGTTTGAATGAGGATCCCGGAAAAAGGAGCCCTGTGGACATGCTAACACACATTGCTGCCCCTCCTATACAACTGTATGTGCAAACCAAAGAGTAGTCATTAAAGCCAGGATATGGCCAGCAGATCAACATCCTGCTGCCAACCCCAAACTCTGGTGACTCTGTTGAGTGAATGTGGCTTTGGACATTTCAACACATGGACCAGCAATGGCTGGCCTTTCTGGCATCTTGGGGAAAAGGCCTGGAAGCTGGCCTCCTGTGTGTTCCTGGAATAACAGCAGAATGGTCCCCAAAGATAATTTTAGTATACCCAAAATGGCTAGGAGGTAAGAGCATCTTACAGGGAAGTTTAATTTTATCTTTATGGCCATTGCATGTACCTCCCATAGCCATATAAATTGACCCATCTGTAACTCCCACAGGGAAGGGGGTGAAGGTCTGGTATAATAGACCGGGACAAGATCCCATTCCTGCCACTGTCCCATTACAGGACCACTCTCTTGCATGTATCCTATCTGATGGACAAGATTTGCCTATGCTGGTGTCATTAAAACATCTATCTTATCGCCCTTAAGGTTATTTTCTTCTACAGTCCTTGTGGCCTGGACCCATCCCCTATCTCCAGCTGCTGCATGATTATTGCTCTGAACTCCCTACCTGTTCAGCTACTGGCACCTGTGGAATAGACAGGCTATGGACTTAATCTGCATAGGACTTTGAACCTAGCTGAATCCTATGGTTTGAGGATTATCATGATTTTATTGCTGTTGTTATTGTTATTAGTCTGGTGACAGTGCTCCAGTTTTTTCACACAGGGGCTATTGCAGAAGATGGGGAGCAAGTAGATTGTGAGGCAAGATTTCTGGATGGGTGGGCTGTGGGTAAAATTGCAATATTTACAGAATCTCTCACCTGGCCTTAGCTCATCTCCATATCAATAGGTGTTTCCAAGGGGTGGAGAGAAGGTGATTACAAGGGGGAGCAGGGGCATATCTGGACTGGAGAGGTTGGGTGGAGTCCCTTTTTGCCACAGGAGCACAAGAGATGTGAATGACCACTTGTAAGCAATAAATGCGTTTCTCCCACTTTATTTCTCCCTTTGACTGATTTCAACTTCAAAGATAATTTGCCCCAGGCTGGGAACATAATTATTCCCCAGAATAACACAACATGATGGGCTATATTTTCCTCACTGCAGTATTTTCAGGACCTAGAAGAGTAGAATTTCAATATGTATTTCTTGAAGAAGTAAATAAATAGATGAATGAATGGATGCATGCTGAAAATACCTTTCCTGGTAATTCAGAGAGCATACCTGTCTGGGGAATACAGTACTGCACAAGAAAATTCTGCTAGTATTACATCTATTTGAAACTTGATATTATATTAGCTTTAAAGAAAGAACTTGGTGAATTTATACCATGAGTGCTAAGATAACAAACACTGTAGTCACACCACCACTACCATTTTTAATAATTTATTAAGTGCCCAGTTTGGGCCTGGGTTAGTGCTAAAGATTTAATATACATTGTTTCATTTATTCTTCCTGCTATACCAGATAAGTATATCTGACTAAGTGTATTGTTATCTCATTTAACTAATTAAACTGGGTTTTGTAACTTAAAGTTGCACAACACATGAGTTGTGGTAGGATCAGGATTCAAACCAAGGCCCACTGTATTTTCAAAGCCCCGAGTCATAGCCACAGACATTCACTGTTTTTTCTTATCTGTGCTGGTTATAATCTTATACAACTGAATCTGCCAAGGGAAAGCATTTGCATGTTTTCTTAACTGAGTTTGGCAGGCACATTAATGTGGAAAGAAATGGTGCAAAGTTTACAATCTTAACTATAATAGTGGAAATCATTAGTCCAGTAATAAGGTAGATACACTGTGCGTAAGCCTAGAAGTATTTTAGACCAACTGACTGCAGGACCAACCACACATCCTATTGGCAGCATGTAAAAACAGAGATTAAAAACAAAAACAAAAACTACAGCATATTTAGGAAGCCAATAATAAGTTTGCTATAGGTAAGTGTCTAGGACAGAAATTTTGAGAAGTGTGGGTTGATTATAAGTCTATGTTTATCTCTCTTTCTCTATATAACCCTCACCCCCATGAATTCATATATTTGGTGTAAAGAAAAGGTAGCTCTAGGCCTGCCAAGAAACCTGGACGGTAGTCTTGATTTTGTCTATTGTGAACTTTGAAAAGCAATTAACAGAGCATATATATGGGAGTTCTTAATTGCTTGGGTTAATTCTTCTTGGGTCAGCAATTTGCTAGCTTTGTAATTTGGTGTTGTTATTTAAACTTTCTGGGTCTTAATTTTCCTAGATATAAATTGGGCTGTTATGAGGATGAATTAAATATTACAAATAAAACTCTCAGAATAGTGGAATATGGTAGGGGCTCTGTAAGTGTTAGTCACGTGTTATCCCCTCAGCAGAGAGCCTCCAGGGCCTGCTGAGTTTACCAACCTTTTAATCCTGAGAAAGAGTTTACCCTTCCCTAATTCCTTTCCTTTCCTTCCCTTCCCTTCCCCGCAGGGCTCCCCTGCCCCCTCTGCTGGCCAACCGCGGCAGGATCCGGCGCTATGGTTGCTATGGGTACCGAGGTAACGCGGTAACCACGGAGACCAAGGCGGAAGCTCCGAGCCGCCCGCTGCGGCCGGCGGCGGGGACGCAGGCGGCGGGGGTCTCCAGGTGGGTCGGCGGCGGCAGGCGGCGGGGGGTGGAGGCTGCGGCGTCGCTAGTGGGGCAGCGCGCCGGCTCTGGGCTGTGCGGGGAGCGGGTCGGCTCGGCGGGAAAGGAGACTGGGCTCCGTGCAGCTGGGACGGTGGCTCAGCAGGTGTTTGCTCAGCTCCTGACGGTTTCCACACTCGTGCCAGCGCCGCCGGCCGCAATACGCGGCCTTGCCTCAGGGGTTGAAAGTATTAGTTTCTGTAAGCAAGACTTCCCAGCCCACGGTACTAATGTTGACATGAACCGAGCTCAAACCCCAGACAGTGTAACTGGGGCCTTAAAGCCCATCTACAACCCGACTTTCTCAGATGCTACCCTCTTTTAGCCTTTGAAGTCATTTACGACTTATGAAAAATTTGGCGCCCTACTGTAATTAGCAATCACAATATGGGTAGGTCAGGGGGAGGGCAGTACAGCACAGAGAGGACAAATAATGACTCCTCAGCATCTTACTGCGCTGATGGGCAGTGATGGCAATGGGGCTGAGGCTGGGACTTGATCATGTGGGTGAATGTTGAAACCACAGTGTTCATGTATAAACCTTCATAAGATTGTATATCAGTGATACCTTAATTAGAAAAAAATTTGGCGCCCTGGCAAACCATTTTCACATCCCTTCTGTGGGCTCCTCTCTGCCTGTGTGGCCACGCACACACGCTTCATTGTACTTCATTGTAGAAGCCCACTTCTCGCCAAGTGAGGGGATCCAAATTCCTGAGAAATCTGAAGCTGTGGAAGTTTTTTCTTCTTCCTCATATCAGCCTAAGAGGTGCTCAGATATACAGATTCAGTTATGTAATTTTTATTTTGTGACTACAGAGTTAGGCTCATTAAAAAAAAAGTTGTAACACCTAGATTAAAACTGTGTAGACTGTATGCTTATGAAAAATGAAGCAAACAAGCAAAAAGAAACACTCCACCTTCCTCTAACAACTTATAGCCTGGATAGAAGCCTGTCCTGATCTCCCATAATATTGCCAGTTGTATTACAAATTAATTATTTGAAAGTACCTTGGTTCTTTATTTCCTTCACAACATTAATACTTGCTGAAATTATTTTATTTGCTTTTTTATATAAAAATATAAAAGAGCTTAGGTTTTTGAAAGTTATGATTTATGACTTTAATACTTTCTTTGCTATTTGTAAACATATATAAATTTTTAGTTGATAAAGAATTACTGATAATTGTATATTGGTTTACAAAATGGATGACTTGGCTAGTATTGAGTGCCTTTCAAGATTTTTTTAGGCTACAGAAGAGTTTATATTAAGTCTGACTCAGAGGTTCATTTTGTAAAATAGAGGAAATCAGAGAAGCTTGTGGGTAAAGCAGAGAGCATTGATGCTCCCCTATTTCCTTCTCAAGGTGGTTTCTGAGACTGCCCCCTTCCTTAAATCCAAGTTCTTTGAAGGCCCTTCAGGAAACCACTGCTTTACAAGCCACAGATCAGACCCCTTGCGTGATATCCTGCAAATAAGGTTGGGGTGCGGGGATCCTTACCATTTTATACTTGAATAAACTGAAGTTCAGATTTCACTCTGATACAGTAGGTCTTCTGAACTTAAACTCAGTATCTTTCAATGTAATCATTTGGAAAATGTTTTAAAAGGATATCTTTCTTGCCCTTTGGTATCTAAGGGCAAATTTTCTCAGCTGTTCTCAAGGGAACCTACACAAAGAAGTTAAAAAATGGGTGACTTGGCTAGTATTGAGTGCCCTGAAACAGTGTTTAATTATCAGATAAGCTGTTTGGGTGAAAAATTGAGTGCAGCTTGGAACTCAATACCTGATTAACTTTCAGGGCCTCTGTGAGGAGGAAAGGGCATATATTAATTTTGTAGGCCACTGAAGAACAAGCTATTATGTTAGGGATCATGTATAATCAGTCTTTTCCTTACATTTTTAAAACAAGATTTAAAAATATATGAATTTAGAATAAAGTTAATATCAGAGAAAATACTAAAAGAACAATTCTTTTAAGAGTTTAAAACTATGTTAATTTAAATTCATTTTTATTTAACATTTCTTGCTTGGATGTTTGATTTTTAAATACTGTGATAAACATGTTAATCTCTACAAGAGATCATCAGATGCATTTAAAATATGTGCTAAAGTAATTAAAAATCCTTATTTATTGGCTTTTAAGTTTTCAGGCTAGAATGATCTGGGTCATTAGGAGAATCAACTAACTTTAGACTAGTTTTCAGTTACAGTAAGTGGCCCATCTTGAGAAGAGTGGTTTCTCAGACCTCCTGTTCTGCCAGTGGTGTGATGGCGCATTCTCTGCGGTGGCAGGCCTGGGTGCACGGGTTCCATTCCCAGAATGAGAACTTGTGTAGGAAGATCATCAATGTATCATAGACAATTCAGAGTCGTATTGTATGTATATGTGTGAGGAGGAACAAGATTAGGAACAGAAAAATGATGCAGTCTAATAAATCAGGGAACTAGGAAATTTTCCACATAACAACTAAACTTTTGGTGTTTAATTATAAGAAAAAACCTGAGTGACCGAATGACAGATGGAACTGTGAGGTTTGCATAGTAGGGAGTTTATCTATTTCCCTGGTTCCATTAGGTGACAAAGCTTTGTGCTTTGCTATTCTTCCTGTTGACATTGTTATATCCTGGTTGTTCCAAGAAAGGTGACCTGTTGGTTTTACAAAAGGAAATAGGCAGAACAGCATGAGTCACAATTATGATCTTCCTTTTTTCTTTACACAAAAAAATTGGCTTCTGTGTGTGACTTGACAGAACATTTAATTAAGAAGAAGTCTTACTAATTGCATTCAGTGAAGTGAAATACCCCTACATAAGACCGTTTATTAGTTAAATCACATTATTAGCAGAGCTATAAATCTGAATCATCTCATCCTAATGAAATGTATACTTTTCTTTCTTTCATTTCGGTCTTTGTGTGTCAGTTCAGCTTTATGCATGTATATATGCACATGTAAAATTGTATGTCTCGATGTGTAAATGAAATTAGAGCAATGTAAATTATTTTACTTAATCAGACATTAACTCTAGGGATGATTCAAAAAAATTTTTAATGATAATGGTAATGATAACATCATGGAACTTTTCACGAAAAACTTATTCACAGTGGATTTGGATCCAGCAGTTGAATTTCCTGATTTTACCATCAGCTGGATTTTATGATCAAAAAGGGGTATAGACTGTATGTTATATGAGCAGAATTACTTCTGGAGGTAGTTTTTCAAAGGTAGCTTTTGTAGCCTCTGTTTGATAAAAGTGAGACACAGGTTCTACCTACAAAGAAGGGGTAGAAGGTGCATCCTCCCTGTGCAAAAGCAAACCAAATCTTGCTTTTCCATTCTTGTGGTATTTTTAGTTTGCTTTGAGACCAATTTTAGCATTTTAGCTTTGAGAGACAGAACTGGGTGGTTGAGAAATGAATCTAAGTTAGATGTCCCTCCTAAGTACCTCTGTCAGAATAGCCCACAGTATTGTCATTGTGAGGCCTTCCCTTTGTGAGTTCTTTGATGGAAGACTGCATGTCTCATTTACCATTGTGACTTCAATACCTGTATTTGGCTTTACAAAGGAGCAGCTAAATACATGTTTGTTGGTTGAGGGCACAAATATACTTAGTTCTATGACATGACCCCTACATTGTTGACAATGTAAAATTATTTTGTATAATTCCATTCTGGAATTATTTTCAGAGAATAAATTCCTTCAAAATTCCCTGTAGTAAAAAATTCCCCAATGTAGTAAAAAACCTACCCTTTCAGGCTGAATTTGAATTTTGAAGGTAGAGTAATTTGGAAGAAGATTTGAGTGTGTGAAATAGTTGCTCGTGCTGGACAATATCATTTTAGTTTCACATGTGGCACAACAAAGTGGATTTGTGTGACTTTTGTGTTTATGATGGACTTGAAAATTTTCAAAAGACACACTCCCAAAGCGTTCAGTGGTTGGGCCATTGAAATATGAGTCTCCCAAAGGAACAGCACTGAAGTACTATGCATTTGATTACACAAATCTTGATGTCACAAGAGCCTTCCATTTGGTTATTCCTATTCTGATGCCTTCTTTCTTTAAGTCTTCGAGCAAAGTTTCTAAACTTTTTTCTGTTTTTCCCTCTAAAACTGTCAGTGACTCTCATTAGCTACAGAATAAATTCCAAATTCTTTAACTTGGCATCTAAAAGCACCTATTATTGGGCCTCAGTTTACATTTCCAAACTTACAGCTACTACTCCCCCTCCATGTAGCCTGCCTGTCGACCTGATGGAACCAGTCATTGGTCCCTATTCAAGAGCTGTTCTTTCTCACAATGTAGAATATTCATCCAGTCAGCAACTTCGTATATGAGCCCCCTTATCCTTAAAGTCCCACTTTAAATGCTAACTGACTTCAATTATCTTTTTCTCACTTCTTATTACTTCTGTAAGTTTTATGGTCCTTATAATTTTTGCCTTGTTTTATGGCTTTTATATATGGTCTTATATGCCCTATTTGACTTTGTGCCATTTGAACCCAGAAAACGAATCTCCTTGGGCCTTGACTCTTTAAAGCCTCCTAGCACAGTTCCTTGCATATAGCAGAGCCTTAATAAATATTTATAGGGGTTATGAGCACATAAGGACATATATATATAAACCTAAACTGACAGTATCAAATGGTTTGGGCATTTAAGACTATGGATTCTATGATATGGCCTCTTATATTTCTTTTAAGAGCATTTGAAATTTGGAAATTTTTAGTCATATAGAAGTCTAATAGTTGTGCATGTGATTTAGTAATTCAGCATTACAGAGTAAATTATTATAGAAGCATGAATAATTTGGATACTCAGGAAATAGGGTATTCTGAATAATTTAATTTTCTGGTTAACTTGGAGTTAGGCAGAGAATCTTTTTTGTTTCATTTCTTGTTGAAAAATTTTTCCTAAATATGCTAATTTTCTGTCTTAGGCAAAGAGCATCATTAGAATTTTCTTTGATAAATGAGGATATTAGAATGCCTTTGGGTAAATATTACTATCTTAATTCTCATTTTACTTTAACAGATATGTTAAAAAAAGGTTTTTGAATTTGAATTGTATCTCTAAGGTTCTTTTCACTATATTTAGTCTTGGATATTATTTTTGGATGAGAACAAATACCTGATATATATTTTTATAATCCTAACAATACAAAGAGATAGAATATGTGCTCCATTTATTTTATTGAATACATTCTTTACTTTCAGTTGAATATTTCCACATTCTTTACTATATAATTATTGATAAAATATTAGTTCCATACAGTATTTATAACTGTATTCATATATAAATATTTGTATAAATGATATTTAGCATCTGAAATAACTTTTTGTTGTTTAATCTTTGATTTAGTCCTTCTCTCATTTTTGTTTTTAACAGTTTTCTGAATTTTATGTAGTTTTGAATTTACGTTTTAACTCCTTTACTGTTAAAATCATTCTTTTGCATTTTTTACTTTTTCAGAAGTTTTCACAAATCACAATAAGTTTGAGACAATATTAAGATGGCAATCATGAACATGAAAGATTTTGTAGTTCTTCCATGGGGAAAACCTGGAAATTCTGTAAAGTTAAAATATAAGTAAGTGCATGTATCTTTATTACTTAAATAGAAACAATTTGCTGAAGTTTCTCTATAATGTAATTTAAAGTATTCTTTTTATTTGAGGTTGTTAAGAGTTCAACTCAAATTTGTGAATTATCATCTCCATTTTCTTCATATTGCTGTATTTATAAGAAAGTAGGTTTGAAATATTATAAATACATAATAGTTTAAAAATGAGGATTAAAAATATTTATGCCCCAGAATCAAAGTGAAAAGTTCTAAATGAAGGTTGAACTCATTAACTATTGAAGCAGTATAACAGAAAGTTACAAATTCTTTTGTGACACTCAAAATTAAAAAAGAGTCATCCTGAAAAAATTGAAAGAAAGTAAAATTTAGGGAAACTATTAGGGTAAAATACTTTAAACAGGGAATAGAAAGTACTACCTCCCTAATGCTTTGCATAAAGGATATAATGTTGAATTTACCTTTCTCAAGAATGATACCATCTGTCCTAGATTGCCTGGTAGATACATTTAGCTGTAGCCAAGCAATTCCAGGATCCCAGCAGTTTCATGACAAGGCAGGGGTACTGGGAGGTTCAATCTATGTTCCCTTTAGAGACCATCCAGAGTCACTGGAAAGTCCTAATGTCTTCCTCTCAAGTATCAGTAAGGGAATGCCATTTGGGACAGCAGTGATGGGCCTAGAGGGTATTATGCTAAATGAAGTAAGTCAGAGAAAGATAAATATCATATGGTTTCACTTGTATGTGGAGATCTGAAAAACCAACTAACCAACCAAACAAAAGAGAAACAGGCTCCTAAACACAGAGAATGGGCAGTTGGTTACCATGGAATGAGGGGGATAGATGAGTGAGGTGAAGGGAATAAAAAGGCACAACCTTCAAATTATAAAATAATTTAGTCACAGTGTAGTGTAGCATAGGGAATATAGCCTATAAGATTGTAGTTTCTCTGTATGGTGGCAGATGGTAACTACTCTTACGGTGAGCATTTAGTAATACACATAACTGGTGAACGACTAAATTGTTCATCTGAAACCTATATAATATTGTATATAAACTGTATTTCAATAAAAAGTTTCAGAGGGCCAGCTAGCATGGGTTGGGGACAGACTGTCAATTTTTAATTTTAGTTTCTAGGTTCCCTGATCTGGACCAATAGACCTGTGGTTATTCAATGTCTTCAGAGCTTTCCTAATTCTCCCTTTACTTTTGAGATACTGTGTGTAAAAGCAATGTGTAAACTGTAAAGTATAATATAAATATATGGCATTATCATGATTAGGTTTACCATTTTTGGTGGGAAGGGGAGCTATCCAATTGTTAATATTACCAATTTTCCTTTCTTTATGCGAAAAGAGAAGGGAACATCCATTTGAGTTTGGTTATATGTTTTACATCTATGTGTGTATACTTATACATTCATCCAATGAACAAGTACTAGGAATACAAGCTCTATACACTGTGCTAAGGAATGGTTGATACAAAAGTAGGAAGCCATGATCTTTTACCTCAGGTAGCTTGTAGAGGATGTGAATAAGTAAAATTACACTTATAATACAGTGTGAAACATGGTGTGATGTTGGAAACATAAAACATGTTCTATGAGAACGTGGCCCAAATTGCTGGAACAGTGGTGAGGAGGTGGCCAAGCTTTGCCTGAAAATGCAGTTAGTTGAGTGAAACTTATGCAGAGGCACAGAGATCACATCATTTGGGGACTTTCAGACATATTCAGTTGGCTAAGATTTATAGAACAAAGTGGAGAAAGGTCAGGGTCATATCGATAACAAATTAACTTGCATGTCACAATAAGAAGTTTGGAATTTATCTTAGAAATGAGGGGGAATCACTTTCTCTCGCCTGTATGTCTCCCTGATCTATCCATGATCCAAACCCGTAAAAGCTAGGATGGGGACCACCTCTCTATGGCGATCGCAGTGGAGTTCCCTTTCTTGTCCTTTCCTTATTTCAAACCTGTTTTCATTTGATACTGTCTTAACAATATCTTAACATTGTCTGACACTTTGGTGTTCTTCAACCCTTCTCTACCTCTTTCCCAGCCCCCAGGGCATGTCAGTGAGTCATTTCTGGCCCTTGCATTTATTGATATGGTCTCTGCAGGATCAACTTTAGTTTCCTCAGTGGACGTGCCTACCCTTTTGTCTCTGTGTCCAGGGCTGCTTCCACAAGGAACCTTTGTCTTGTTTCAGACCAGTAGAATTCCACCATTAGCTTGACCACCCGGTCGGTAGGCCAATCCTTGTTTTTAGTCTCACTCCTGTGTCACAGTGGAAACATCAGAAGCATTAAAAGTTTGGTAAGCCAGCAAGTGACACAATCACATCTGCACTTGTAAACTCTTCCTGGAAGGCATATGGAAAGTGTTCTAAGCTGTTGAAACTTTGGGCCAGGAGGCCAGCTTGGGGAGTGTCTCCAGCCCATTCCAAAGTGATCTGGTTCAGGAAATGGCATCATTGTCCTCTTGGTTGCTAAGTGAGAAAGCTTCCTTGTCACTTCCCTGGTCAGTCACTACTTCTGGTGCATCTCTAAGTCCAGTTATTCCATTTTTTTATGTTTCTGAAATGCTCCCATTTTTCACTCCACTGTGTCTATTCAATAACACCAGCATCATCTCTCTCTGATAGGATCACAGAAATAGACTCTTAACCTGCTGCCTTGCTTTCAGCCTTATACCCTGTAATTAACTTTCCAGAGTGATCTTTCTAAAATGTAAGTCTGATCAATTCTCTTAAAACCTTTTAATGATTCTTATTGCTCGTATAGTATAAATCCCAGTTCCTCATCATGGCCTCCCCTCAGCACTACCTGAGCTGGCCACTCTCTCCCTCTGCAGTTCCATTCCTTGCACTTTTCTCTTCTTGCACATAATGCTTGGTCACATGGAACTTCCAGTTTCTTGACCCAAATATCACTCTTTTCTACTTGTGCTACACTTTCTTCCTGGAATGCTGCTCTCACCTCCTCCCTTTGACTGTTCTTCCACCCCTAGAGCTCATCCAAGATGTCACTCTCTCTGGGAACTTTTCCTGTAGTCCCAGGGGCTGGGTATGTGCTGTTCCTGGGTGCTCAGGTACCTCCCTGTACTTCTCCATGGGCGACATCATTGTAGTGTATTTTGCCACCTTCCTGCTTGTCTGTGGCCCCCCTCTCCACGCTGGAAGCCCATTGGCTCTCATACTCTCTCACATACTACCATGCTTGCCTGTAATGGGGCCGAGTCTCTCCTTGTGGAAGAGATACTGAAAGTAATGCTTCTCCCTAAATATCTTTGCCAGCTCTTCTTAACCTTCTGGACTGCCTTTGCTTCCCATCACTTTCTGTATATCTCCCCTAGATTGCATCTGCTTGGGGACATATCTTTGGCCCACTTGTTCTTTGGTAACTGCTCACCACCTCTAAAATTTAGTTCCCTTTTCTGATCTCCATTATTCTTATTTTGGCTGTTTGCCATAGCAAGTATGGGTGCCCATGCTACTTGATTATGTAAAACACTAATGTAATAATGAAGGAAGAGATTTAGACTCATGATGGATAAGAAAAGCTAGAGAACTAGGTTGGATTAGACCTATGAAAGAGAGAATCAGTGACTAATGCTAATAAGAGACAAATATTATAAAATAGAGGAAATGGCTTGTGTCAATAGCTTGATGAGACTGATATTATTATCAAAGTCTCTGGCACAAGAATCTATAAGAGGGCTTTGCTCTGTCCTCAGAAAGTTCTTTTCTTACTGCTTTCCTTCAGAGGAAACAATAAGTTGTGCTTGGCTCATTGGCCCATTTAATCCTTTTTGATGATGCCTGTGTCAAAACAATTCATCGGTGCTTTATCCTTAATTGGCCCCAAGCAGGCTCTGCTCATTTTTTTTTTTTTGGTATTATACATACATGACATAAAGGTAGAAATTTATTAAAGGTTTCCAAGATAAATGTGTTTTCTACTTATGTAGAAGAAAAATTATTTTAAGCACTATGCTTCCAACTCCTTTAGAAGACAGTATGAAAACAAGGAATAATTTTTCTTTTGTGTTCTATCTGTGTCAGAGATATTTGTGCATCCATAAAGACATAGCTCATATATAAAATTATATGAAATTATATAATTGTGATTTGAAACCTCTAGCAATGTAACAGGAAAAACAAAAGTCTAAAATTTGATGAAATAACCTTGCTTAAGGAGACTATCAAAGGAAGGCAAATGCCAATTTTAGAAACCATATTTCAGAGAATACAAAGGAAGTCGTTAAAGTACTTCCTTGCTTTGTCTATTACTCATAGTTTTAATTAAAGGAAAACATGATATAAAATTATTTTGCCTTGTTTTTGTTTATTTATCTCAAATGAACATTCTGTATTTAAATCTTACTCAGAAATGCTCGAGAACTGAGGATGGAGAAAGTACAGTTAGAACTGGAGAATCAAGAGATGGAAAAGAAACTACAAGAATTCCAATCAAAAAGGAGCAACTCAAAGGAAGAAAGAGAGTGGGTGACATTTTTAGAGAATTTAGAGGAATAAACAGAATTATGTAAAGAAATGTTTTATATATTATTGTCATTCCAATAAAGATCTGACCTGAATGAATAATTTCTGGCTTTTCCCATTGAGCAAACAAAATTAAATTTGCCCTTTTTCTGTTTCTGTCCTTTGTGTAAGGCACGTTGCTTTTTAAAATTACCATTATTATTATCATTTTTTCTGAACCGTTTCTGGCCTTACATTTTCTTATTTCTCTTCTAACGTTACCCTTTGAAACCATTTATGGTCTGGAATGTTTACTGCAGTAGGGCAGAATTTTTCCTTTGCTTTCATGAAATTGCCATCAATAGGAAATTGTCAATTTATGTTTAGGGTCATTTTTATTTAATTAAAGACCTTCGGGGGCAGGAGTTTACATGTACATATATAAGAATCATTCAAACCCTCAAGTATGTTTGAAATAATTTTAGCGAATATGCTTTAGCTGAAATTTTATTAATGAGAACTCTCTAATATTCTGCTTCTATATATGTACTAATTTTACTGAGAAATTTGCTTTATTATAAAAACAATAATAAATACAATAAAATCAAATAGAACTACTGTCTCTTCATAGTGATTGGCTGACTCCCAGCCCATTTTGTAGTACCACTTTAAACAGTTAAAAAATTTTTCTCACATATGTCTTATCTTTCTTTATACAACCTTTGGTATGTATTGTGTATGAATGTGTGTGTGTGTGTGCGTGCGTGCGCACGTGTGTGTGTGTCTGATAAGTCTACTTTTTTAACAAATCATATCATCTATAAAAATAATATGCATTCACTTGCACCCTATTTTTCTACTTAAGATATGTTAGTGTTCTTGCCGCATCAGAACACATTAATCTCATTCTTTTAATGGCTACACAGTATTTCTTTCTTTGACCATAATACATTTATTTTTCAGATCTTTATTAAGTTTTCAGTATTTTGTGATTATATGTGCTGCCATGAATCTGCTTCTACATATATTTTATTTACATATGCAAGATTATCTATGGGATAAATACCTGTGTTATTTTAGGTCAGCATACATGTACAGTTTATATTTAGGTAGACATTGGAGAAATCATCTTTCAAATAGGCATTAAGACTGTATAACATTCTCCTGCAGAGTATGAGAGTGCATGTTTCATGTGCTTTATCTGGTACTAAATATTATGAGACTCTTTTTTTATTAAATTTGGTTTTGTCTTATGCTCAAAGTGGTAATAATCAAATATTTATGAGGTACTTTCTGAACCACTAGAGAAAATTCAAATGTTTATTATAGTTTCAGTAGTACTTATCTCTAGAATCTAAATTCTTTGAAAAATATTTATGACACATATTTCTAATAAACAGCGCATTGGTTTAAACAGGTATCTTAATGTTGTACATCATCCCAGGTGACAAAGCTTACTGTGTATCTTGATGCTATGGTCTTACTGATTCAATGTTCAGTTCTTTTTTTTATCCTTCACTGCTTTGGACTTAGTTTGGACTTCTCAGTGGGTCGTGGGAATCAGAGTTCCTGGAATCAACCCAAGAAGTTAGTTTTCATTAGCGAGAAACCTCTTCTAGATATTTTAAAAGATGTTCTAAAGTCTGATTTAGTTTGTAGAATAGTTGAATGCTTTTCTAAGGTCACATAGTTAATAAATGTCATAGCCAGAATGAGAACTTGCTACTTACTGAACTTTCTACTAGAAAGAAGTCTAGTATTCTAATCTTGGCTTCATTATTTATTATCTGTGTGACCTTGGGCAAGTTTTTGTCACAGTTTTTAAATGGGAATTGAACCCTTCCCCTCTTGACTTCAAAAAATATTATGAGGCTCAAATAAAAGTGCTTTAAACTGTAAACAGTTTGCCTTTTTAGCAATCTCTGTTACTTTTCAATATGGCTAATTTGAAGTCTTAATAAGGAATCATCACTTAGAAGATCTGTTGATTTTGCCTCCTTTTCCTCTTTACATTTGTGAACTCTTAGCTTTTAAAACTGCCTGACAATCTGTAAAATTACCAATAGATCAATATGTCTATCTTTAGTCATTGCAAATGTCTAAAAAATGAAATTCTTCATTTGCATTTGGACATTTCACTTTTATTCATGTCTCCTCAGAAGTTCCAAATATGGTAGAACTATATTTTAGAATTATTGAGAAAATTGTGGCATTATTGATATTTCATTTTCATTTTGTAGTAATTTGTTACATGTTAACAACTGAATTTTCATTTCCTGAAAAAGGAAAAATATATTTATATTCATTAAAAGGAGAACTGTATTTAGTAATTACATTTTGTCTTCTGTTTATATATATTGAAGGTCAAATGGATATCACTGGAAATCTGGACAAATGGGCAAATTGGGTAATCGATCACAGGTGATGTCACAAAATAAAGGAAATGTTATTAAGGTAAGAAAATACCATTTGGTTCTCAGGCAATTGGCTAAGCAAAAGACATAAATTCGATTTTCAGATCATGTGTTCCCTTCCATACTTAAGAACCTACTATTCTTGTTTTACAGTTTTGCATGTTATTGGATTTTGTATGGGTTAATTTTGTATGGGTTAACATGCAGCTTTCATTATTCAGATATGTTTTTGTCGTTCATCTGAAAGTTGATTTTTAAAAGTTCACTTTGAGTTGAATTTCTCTAAACCAAATTTTGCCTTTTAATTCAGTTCTGGTTTCAAGTATGTGAAATAGAATTACGTAGTTCTGTATTAACTTGAAAGATGAGTTACTTGACATAATAAAAGACAGACTCTTTTCTGCCTTTTTATTGTATCACATTTGTTTAATGTGTTTATGTTCTGCTTGAATAATAACTATTATTTATATGCTGTTGATTCCATGTATGAAGATACCCAAGGAAAAAAATGCTCTCAGGTTTCCAGTTACAGAATTGCTTTACCTTTACTATGTATTGTAAAATAAAACATTACCTTACATTTAAGATTAAAACCAAATGAGTGTTTTTACCTAAAGAAAACCATTATGCTTCTGGATTCGTTAGTATAAGATCCGTGACTTTGTAAGTTTTAACTTATATAGCTTTTTCTCTTCTTATATACCTATCATTAAACTTTCATTGGGTCAGTTGACATCTACAAACATCTTACTTGGAGCTTCTAACATTTTTGGATTTGAAAAAGCATTTTATTCTTTAATGTCATTCTCTTCCTGAGATATGTTTCTTTAAGTTTTAGATGAAAAGTTATCTAATTCACTTTCCATTTTTCATTTTCTTTCTGAGATAGTGTTTCATGTTTCAGACGTTATTGTAAAATACATTAAAAATGCTGACTGATTATACACTTATTTATTTAAGAACATTTATTCGTGCCTTCTTTGTCATGTAGTGAGTTACCCTAGTTCTTGAGGAGATCCTCATCCAGTGTGAGAGATGATGCATGTATGAAAATGATCATTTATAGTAAAAGTCAATATGTGATTTTTGCCATAACCATTTAGTGTATGAACTATATGTGCTTGGAAGTAATAGTGTAGTTCTACAAATATTTAGTTCTACAAAATAAATCTGAGCCTACTCTATGTCTTTATTAAGAAGAAGTGATGAGTAAATCATAATTCCAGTCTCTACAAACCTCATAATTGATTAGGAGGATGAAAGTATGGAACTTGGGGAGATGTAGATGGTGGGTATGGAATGTTAGATTGGGTAAAAGGGATAGCCTTGAATTCTACACTCAGGAGTCTTGACTTTTTTGTTGGGTGAATGGTAATCCCTGCCAGCTTTTGATCAGGATGGTAGCAAGTTTAAAGTGATGATTTATGCTGGTTTATCTTGTTCAAATATCCAATGCATTTGGAGTATAATGGAGTATAGAACAAATTTTATCCAAACTGTTTTGATCAGGCATCGCAGCAATAAATAGTATATTTTGAGCATGGGCTTTCTACTCATGAACATTTTATTTATTCATAAATAGAAATTATTTATGTATGTACTATATTTTCATTATAAAACAAAATATGGAAATTAGTCAAGAATAATATAAACATAAATAGAAATTATACTCGTTGGTCTTTTCCTGAGCTCCCTCAGGGATGTGTACACGCTATGTTGGAGGCTCTTGGCATATGGGCAGAGTGACTATTTAGTGGAGTACTAAAAATGTCTAAAAGTCAGATGGGAAGAGTCTGAATTGGAATGTAACCAAAGAAGTACAAAGGAATACATGGAGCCAAGAAACAGCAATAAGGGAAAGGAGAAAGTCAAGTATTTAACGATATTCCAGGCTGGACTGACTAAGTGATAAAATAAAAAAGTTGGCATTACGATTAGCATGTATGGTGTGTGGGGGGCACGGGGAGGGCTGTGCAACACAGAGAAGACAAGTAGTGATTCTACAGCATCTTACTATGCTGATGGACAGTGACTGTGAAAGGGGTATGTGGGGGGGACTTGGTGAAGGGGGGAGCCTAGTAAACATAATGTTCTTCAAGTAATTGTAGATTAATGATACAAAAAAAAAAGTTGGAACAAAACATTCCTGAGTGTAGATTTAGTCCTTTCTTCCTCCCACCCTCCCTCCTCTTTTTTCTCCTCTCCTCTTCCTTTCCTTTCTCTTCTCTTCTTTTTCCTTTCTTTCCTTCTTCCTTTTCTTTCCCTTCCCTTTTTTCCCAGCTTTGTTGAGGTATAATTGACAAATTAAGTTGAAAGATACCTAGGGTACAACACAATGATTTGATATACATATATACTGTGAAAGGACTTCCCCCATCCAGGTAATTCACACATCCATCCCCTCACTTTATTTACCTTCTTATGAGGGGGGTGGTGAGAACATTTAAGTTCTACCCTTTTAGCAAATTTCAAGGATTTAGAGTGTTATTGGAATTCTCATGTGTTAGTTGAATCCAAGAGAATAAATGTGCTCTCTAAGAGTTTATAAAAAGGAGAAGAAAGGTATAAAGGATAAAGCTCAGGAAGGGCAGGTATGAAGGATGAAGTTCAAGGAATATGGAGGCAAGAGAACTTTAATATTTACTACCTTTTATACCAGTCAACAGTTTAGCTGCTTTTCCTATTTTATCTCATTAAGTGCTTATATCACTCTTAAGAGCTAGTTGTTATTTTTCCAGTTCAACAGATGAAGTAATTTAACATCAAAGAAGTTAGATAACTTGCTCAAGGTCAACTGTCAGGGCCAAGATTTGGAAGGCAGGCTTTCAGGCTGATTCTAAGAGCTCTCCAGTAAAGGGAGCCTGAGAAGACAAAGAATGGTAGGAATAGAATCAAAATAATGTAATTTCATAGAAGACGAAAAAAAAGAATGGTGTTTTTAGAAAATAGGGGGAAGGGAACACTGACTGATACACTGTGTGAGGAAAAATGTTGTGAATACAGTTTAAGACCAATGTTTCTCAACAGGGGGCAGTTTGCCCCCCAGGAGGCATTTAGCAATGTCTGGAGACATTTTTAGTTATAACCACTTAGTTGTTTTTTTTTTTTGTGCCAATGATATGTAGTGGCTGCAGGCCAGGTGTGCTGCAACATATCCGACAGTGCCCTGGAGAGGCCCCACAGTGAAGAATTATTTGACCTAAAATATCAATGGTACTAAGGTCAAGAAACCCTGCATTAGACTGTAAAGATTAAAATCCTAACTCAGTGCACTAGCTCGGTGATTTTAGACCAGTCACTTAACCTTTCTGAGTTTCTGTTACCATATTTGTAACCATGCATAGTAATATTTTCTAACTGCTTAAGAGTTTTGAGCAATGTGTGAGATAATGTGTGAAACCAATTGTAACATTAACTGAAAATCACATTGTAATGTCTATTTACGGAGAATGAGAATTTTTTAAAATACTGAATTTGATTTGATAATTGGGTCATTAGATGTAAAAATAAATTTCAAGTGGTTGAAAAAGAAAGACAGATGGTAATGAGTAAAGACTAATATTACAATGAACATGAGGACAGAGGGTGATCTCCCAAGGGTTTAACAGGATCAAGGAAACACTTTATTATATTGTTTTTTAGAATGAGGAAGAATACTTGAGCCAATTTGTATTGAGGGAATGGACTCATTGGTGGAGGACAGAGAAGATGCAAATGAGAGAGGTGCTGTTGCTGGGGTGTAAACTTTGAAGAGGTGGTTCATTCAAAATGCCCTAACCATGGGATGGAAGACACATTTTCTCTGAGACAAGAAAGTTGGAAGAGGAAATAAGTGGTAGTAAAGGTAAATGTTTAGAAGTTGCATTTAATGGCATGAGCAGGAAGCCGTGGAGAAATTTTCATGGGACGACCTCGGCGTTCTTAGTGAATTTGAAGACAAGATCAGCTGTTCAGATTAAGAAAGGGAAATGGGGTGATTTTGAGTTTTTTGGAATAGAGAAGGTTGGGAGTAGTCACTGTGGGAATCATAACTGAAGTTTAACAGCAAATGAATAAATGGGTTGCTGAAGAGCCATGAAAACCTACTGGAGTTATTCAGCTGGGATTTGTAGGGGACCCAGTCAGGATTATTTCATCACAATGGTAGGTAGGTAGATATGAGAGGTCTAAGGGGAAGGAGGTGAGGTGGTAAGTGGTTAGTACTGAGAAACTCTAGGTTGGGATTTTGAAGGTGTGGCCATTCAGATTGTTGCTTAAATTCAAGGTTTGGTCATGATGGGCAGGTGACTGCAGAGGCACTCAGATGTTCATAGTAGTCAGCATGTTGGAGGGTGTTCAGTGTAAGCATGTCAGGTCAATAGGGCCTTTGAAGTCTCCATGATCATCATGCAGAAATCTGATGGAGGGAAATGCCTAGCATATTGCTGAAGCTGAAATAGAAGAGGATTTGGAATATTGGTAAAGGCAATAGTGGATGGTAAGGACCTTCACTAGAGGCAACTATGTTGAATGATGAGAGTAGAGCTATACTCTGGAAGAGGAACAGAGGAGCAGACAGTAAGAAAAATTTTCTTCTCTCCCAGTGAGTGAAATGGAGTAAAAATGGAGTGAGTTCCTCTGAAGAGTTCTGTGGAGAAGGTTGTGTCTGGGGGAAGGTGGGTCCAGTCAATGTGAACTTTTGAAGAGATAATTTTAGGAAAGATTTAAGGCATGAGGTAAACGATTATTTAATAAGGGCTCTATGAAATGGCAGGGGAGACTTGGTGAAAGGACAAGCAGCAGGGAATGGCAAGTGTTAAGTAGTTAATTGGATTAAGAATGAGAAAATTTGAAATGGTGGCTCATGGAAGGAGGGTGGGCCTGACATGGCAGGTTAGGATGTTGGCATGAGTTTGGAGGCATTTGTGAAATGAAAGCCAAGGAGGCCGAAGATGACAGCATGTCTGAGTCCAGTGGCCCGGACGCTATGTCCATGTGGTGGAGCTGTTAAGCTGCACTGATTCCTCATGGCACTCTGCCAGCATCTGCTGGTCGAGGTGTAAGTGGGTTAGTAAGGCAAAGGCTTCAGTATATTGAATTTCTGATGTTTGGATATTCATATATATATATTACATATATATATTTATTAATATATATGTCTATGAATATGTGTATATATGTATATGTGTGTGTGTGTGTGTGTGTGTGTGTAGGTATGTATATGTGTTATGTGTGTATCCTTGGTCCCTACCCTCACCTAAACTCTTTCCCCAAGAGATAAAAATCAGACTTAGGAGAAAATTCTGTTTGCCCAAAAAGCAGCTACCAGTTTGTTCTTGAAATATTTTTATTGAATTTAAATTATTGGAAGTCAATATGACTATATTCATAGAGCAGGGAAATATTATTCACAATAATAAAAGTGAATTGCAAAATTTTCCTAATAATGGGCTTAGTTTGCTTTGGCATATCCATTCCTATCAGATAGCTTTTAACTGCATTGATCATGCTGTATTCAGGTGTATCATTAAGGCAATAATATCACATAATTTGTTCATGAAAAAGGATGTGAAATTATCTGTAACTTGTATAACATTGCCAGTTTAAAAATAAAAGTGTGATTCACACAAAAACTGATTATTTCAATCCTATTTTCTTTTCTGCTGTGTTTGCTACATAGCATCTGAGCAGCTACTTAAAGAATATGAACAACAAATGCCTTTTTGAAGGAAAACCACTAGCTTCACTGAGAATAATTAGGCCTAAATTTTCAAAGATGAGTGCAGTTGGTACAGCCATAGACATAGAGGCAACCATTGTTCTCATATTCTCATGTACAAATTGGGCAATTGAGCATGCAAATTGCAAACTGAAAACTAGGCATGAATTCACAGCGTCTGTATAAATGGGCACCTCCCTCCCTGCTTGTTTGTGTACTCTGTCTGAGAGTTGGTTTTAGTAAGACCAAGGCAAGTATGTGCAATATGCAAGTCTGCTTGCTTTCTTAAAATATGAAAGCCCCAAGGATTTTAGGTGATTATTTGAAATACCTAGCAGCGAATCTTATTTTCCTCCCAATTTTTTTTGACTACAACTTGGGAAAGATAGGGATCACAAATAATACATTTGGAGGTTAAATCTATGATACTTAAATGTGGTTCTCTAAATTAGGCAAATAACATAATAATATTGACTTCTACAGTTATGTGAGATGAGTAGCACAGTCGAATTCAACTTAGATTAAGTCTTCACAAGTATTAGTATTTCAGAAAAATGAGAGAGAAGGCTTACTGAGCCCTTACAGTTTTAGACATTAAATATTTATCATTTCCTAAAATCATTTCATGATGATATATAATGATTTTTTTTTGTTTAAAAGTAATTTATGGCATGTTTTAAAAAAACTGGTTTATATGTATTTCCAAAATTTATTTTTTTATGAATTTTCTCTGAATTTAATTAAAAAGTCTCATATGCTTTAATAATGATCTTCTATTCATTGTACAATATTCTTTAAAAGTGTTTGTTTTGTTCAAGACGCATCAAAATGTTATGGCTTCCTAATATTTTTGTTAATAATTTAAATATTCTTTGAATAAGACAATGTATACCTGACAAGTAGTATCTATTTCATTAATACAGCTTTCTTCTGGGAAAGTGAAATTAAAATTACTGAAGGAGCAGCTTGAAGGTAAATAGTTTACCAATGTATTATTAGATGCTGAAGATATAATTTATTTTCTCTTACACATGAATTACATAGAAAATTAAAGTGCCGCAATTGTTCATGCAGTATAAAAATTAGAGGTCCCCAAATGATAAGTCTTTATCTTTGATATTCAAAATACATTTTATTTATGTTTTTTTATGGGGAAGGCTTATTTTAAGCGAAAAATGTCAACTTAGAATATGATTATAGTAATAACACTTTAAAAAAGTGTGGACTTTCATAACTCTGTTCCTTAAACTTTATTAATAAAATCTTTTAACCAGAACATAACTTAGTATTATTTTAAATTAAGAATTTTAAATTGAAACTTCACTCTGGGAAATCAAAGGAATATTAAAAATTGCTTTATATTTAAGTAAATTAATTGGCAATATCCAAAAATCAAAACTCATTTTTGAATTCACACTAATTCCAAAAGGAATTTGTTTTTTATAGAGGATAAATGCATGCAGTTTGATGACTAAGATAATTTAGTAGAACAAATTCTAGAAATATATATAACATTTATTATAAAAGTAGTTCTGCTTGGGCTTTGGTTTGATCCATAGAATGGCATAAGAATTCTATCAAGAGCATAGTTTCTAACATAATATTACATGTCTATTTCATGTGAGTTTAAAGCAGAATGTATATGGGTGGATGTGTATGGCCCTGTGGTCACAGGGGACGGGAAGGGGACTGCGGGCTCCCCAGTCTACTGAATAGTTTTGACTTGGCTACATGACATTCTTATTGGTCAATTAATATTCAAATACTGTTTGAGAATTTAGCAATATGCATACTTTTATTACTTTAACAATAAGAAAACTGAATATTGTATTTTAATATGATTGATCTGACATTTTGTTTTCTTCCAGAGCCAGTGAAACAACCACTCAATTTTAAAATGGCAAATTGTTCTGAACATGGAAAACCCAAGATAAAAGGGAAGGTTTGTGGGCAGTGTGAGAACAAAGCTGCTCTGCTAGTATGTACTGAGTAGTATTCCATTGTACAGATACACCAAAATGTGCTTATTCATTGACATGTTGAATGCAATTTTTGTTGCTTCAGTAATTTTTACTATTACATTTAAATCTGGACATTTACATTGCAAGTCTTTTTCTTTTCCATGTATTTTTTCCCTTAGTTGACAGTCATTGTTTTGAAATTTTAAAAAAAGTAGAAAAACATGCTTTCTGACAGCACTCTAGCTTTTTCTTTCAGTGCTAATTTCATGAACTTTAAAACAATTCATGGTGAAATATGCTATAATTTAAAAGTTACTATCTTAGCCATTTTAAGAATATTGTTCAGAGGCATTAAGTACATCCACATTGTGCTGTCATCACTGCCATCCATCCACAGATCTCTCTTCACCCTGCAGAACTGAAACTCTGTGCTCATTAAACAATAACTCCCTGTTCCCCTATCCCCTTAGCCCCTGGCAACCATCCATCCATTTTCTGTGTCTACGAATTTGGCTATTCTAGGTGCCACATATATGTGGAACTGTACAGTATTTGTCCTTTTGTCACTCAGTTATTTCACTCAGTAATGTCTTCAGAGTTCATCCATGTTGTAGCATACAGAATTTATTTCCTTTTTAAGACTGAATACTATATCGTTGTGTGTATTTTCCATGTTTTGTTTATCTAATCACTTATTGATGGACTCTTGTTTGTTTCCACCTTTGGCTATTGAATAATGCTGTTATGAACATTGGATATACAAATATCTGCACAAGTTCCTACTTTCAGTTCTTTTCAGTATATACCCAGTAGTGGAATTACTGAATTCTCATTCTTTCTTAAATAGTCTCCATTCAGTATGGGGTCTCCACTACTGTCCAGCCACATCTCCTATCAACGTTACCAGTGACTTCCCCATTCTTAAATACAGTGGTCAAGTCTTAGTTCTTATCTTAATCTATCGGTATTATCTGATACAGCACTCCTTTCCTCTTCTATGACTCTTCTCTTGGCTCTCTCTGGGGTACGATTCTCTCTTGGTTTCATTTTGCTTGCCTAGCTGTCTCTTCTCCATCTCCTTTGTTGCTTTTCTGTATTCTGACCCCTTAATGTTGGAGTGCCACAGGGCTCAATCCTTAGACCTCTTCTCTATATTCTATACTTATTCTTTAGGTAATTTAATCTATTCTCTTGGCTTTAAAGACAATTTCTACATTGATTGTTCCCAAATTTATATCTCTAACTTACACCTCTCTCCTGAATTCTCAACTCAAACTGCCTAGTCAACAGTTCTTCTCGGATGTCTAATAGGAGTCACAACTTGTTCGGAATTGAACCCCTAATATCTCTCCAACAGATTTGCTCCCCCTGCAGTCTCTTCCTATCAGTGAAAGTCAACTAGAATGTTTCCTACACTGACAGCCCTTTATAAAACTGCTGCTGCTAAGTTGCATTCTCCAGTTTTGTGAAGCTGCTTCATCCACTTACAAAGAAAGCATTTATAACCCTTTTTTATATACACTTTTTGTTTATTTTCTACCCACCTACAGTGTTAACTTCATGGGAATAGGGATTTAGTTTTGTTCGTTGGTCTGTGGCCACCATCTAAAATTATGCCTGCAATTTAGCAGGTACTGGTACTCAGTGTTTGTTGAATGAATCTTTCTTTAAAATTTTCTGTAACACAGACTTTAGATATTATATTCCTTTCAGTTAGTATTGAAAGTACTCCAGTATCTTTTGCAATTTAAAATATCATATATGCTTAGGAAGCAGGTCCCCCTCCCCAATTTAACGGTTATAACTAATATTTGTAGATTATTGCAACTAATATTATTATAGTTCCAGAAAATTTAGCCATAATAACTTCTGATTTAAGGCTATGTTGCTAGCATTATCTTATGGCAGTTTTAGCCATGCTTAAAGAATTGGAATGCTGGTAAGTCTAATAAACACCTAATGTAAAGCCCTGGGTCTTAGTATAATGCTCTTACTATTACATTATACTGTTTTCTTATCTTGCTTGATATAGTGGTGGACAGTAATTAAAAAAATTTTAACAGGTTGTACCTATTTATAAATGTTTAAAAATTCAAACAAATGATAATATTCCTGAAGTTGGGAGTATGAAAATTAAAAGGGACTTATTGGCTGAGTTGAATTGTTGGGCTCCACTGTCATGGTCTGAGGAAGCATTTATGTAGGAGCTATGAGTCAGTATTTCTTGTGAATTCTATCTGTGTTAAGCACTGTTTAAAGCCATGGGATTTGAGCAATATGGCATATGTAGATAAGACTTGACCTGGAAGTAAAGGATCTGTTTTTCCAAAGAGAAGGAAAAATGAGAAAAGGACACCACATACAGGGTAAATGGCAGGCGCCTTAGGGGCTGGGAAGCAGATGAGAGTGAGGACACGTGCAATGATCAAGAAGCTGACGTGCTGCAGACTGTTGTGATCGGAAGCCAGGATTTAGGCCATGCACATTCTTAAAGAATTTTGCAAAGATTTTGAGAAAGGATGTCTTTGATTTGAAATGAAAAGTACCCCGTGATACTTGTCAAGGTTCAACATAAGTTATTTAAAAGCTCAAGCTATGCAGTTCTAATGAAGTAGACGGTGGTAGTGTTTAACTCTGAGGTGATCTTCTGTTCTTAGTTTCCATCATTCTAGATGGTAATGCTTATTAGATTATTAGAGTAAACCTTCCTGTATCTGGTAATAGGGTTTTCATCAAGGAAAATCATACATGGGAAATAGGGGTTAAGAGTTTGTGTTCTGGGGGTTTGCATCTCAACTTTATCTGTTATTAGCTATGTGACCTTCTGCAAGTGACTTAATTCTTCTATATTTCTGTTTTCTCATTTGTAAAATGGGATAATATGGATAACAGTAGACCATACCTCAAAGTTATTGAGAATAGTGATTAATGCATATCAATTTGTTAACATTGTGCCTGGAACATTGGTAGGAGACAATAAATTGGATGTGTTTTTTGCGGGCACATTTTCTTACATATTGATGCATTCACATACATTGATGGTAAAAAAAAAAAATCCCTCAACTTCCAAATTTATTATTTTTTTAAAGAAATTCCAGTAGCTTTAGGTTGTTTATACATGGAAAATTGAAATAGAAAGTTAAAAATTATATATTAATTTTGGAAAATGGGAATAATTTAGTTAAACTCAAATGGATCTTGAAGGCTTAATCTAGCCTTGATCAAATTAAAAATATTTGCTAAAACTGCACTTAGGTATTCCATCATTGAAGAAGTATCTGTGGTGCATTGGAGTCCTTATCTATATTTTTAGTATGTTCCTGTCAGTTATACAGACTGCCTAAAAAGATTTTCCAGTTGGCAGTCATTTTAAACCAATTTAAATCCACATATGCTTGTATAACAAAATATGTAAGCTTACTCTGCAACTCCAGCTTTGATCTTCTAGTCTTCAACATGCGTTTGGTTACTTTCATTAAAAGTCGGTTGTTAGCAAATGCTGGCTTAGAATTATATGCTGATACTGATTTTCAGTCCTCTATATTATATTGTAAAAACAATGCCAAATCATTACATGAGTAATTCATTGAAACATTAGCAGACGTGTTAAATAAAAATTATGCAGAGTACATTTTGAAATCTACATTAATACAATAATACTAGCATATATTTATGTGAAATTATAGCTTTTTGTATGATTTTTGAACTTAAAAATTATTGATTTAGATAATGTTTTTATCATCAGTTCTCTAAGAGAATGCAGCTCTTGGAACAAGAATTGAAAGGGCAGGACCAGTTTCTGTACTAGAGTTACTGTTTATTTTTCTTCCACTTAAATAAAAATATGGTTATGCATAGCTAATCACAGTTGAAAAAGATATATTTGGATTTTGATAAATTCTAGACTGTGCAATCACTTGACATACTGGATTTTATTTAATTGGAGATTTTATCAAGGTTTTTCAAAAGATGTTTAGTACTGCAGTTAATGGTCAATGACTAATTATTAGTAATATGGGTCATGGGAAAGAATTTGAGCTTTGAGCCAGACTGGGGGGCTGAAATTCTAGCTCCATTAACTGTACAACTGGGCAGATTCTCAATTATTATATTCCTTTGTTACCTTATTTTCATAATGGAGGAATAATAATCATGCTAACTTTAAAAGGTTGTTCTGAGGATTAAGTGAGATGAAATATATGGAGCCCTAGAACAGTAAGTGCTCACTAATGTTGTGGATATTATTATTTGATTTTGTAGCCTTCCTTTTTATTTTCATTTTAGTTACATAAATTTATGTAAAATTTCTTATTCTTTTAACCTTTTTAGTGTTGTCCTAATCATTTTATATTTTGTAAACCTGGCTACATTGTATATAACCATGTCCTTGTATGAGGACTTGTAATACAATTTTTAAAAATTAATGGACTCCTACTGGGTTTTTACTAAACGTTTAGTCTACTTTTTCATGTCCTATGCATCCTAGTGCCATGTTATTATTCACTGTGTGGTCTGCCCTCTAGCAGCTACATGGGCATCACCTGGGAGCTTGCTAGAATGCAGAATCTCAGAGCAATTCCAGACTTCCTGAACCAGAGTCTGTACTGTTGCAAAAGCCCAGATACTTCCCATGCATGGTACAATTTGAGAAACATCACTGTGTTGCACATTACAGCCTGCCACTGACCAGTACAAGGTAGAAGAGCTTGGTCAACCTTTCCCAGTCTGCCCCAGCTATTTTATGCTTATCATTCCCTGACACAAAGTAAGAGGAAGGAGGGGAAGACTGGCAGTGGCCACCCTAAGGAGAGAGGAAATGAAAGAGGGTCCACAGGGAATGTGAGCTCCTTGACATAGATTTTCTGACACCATCTCTCCAAGCCTTCATGCTTTCTTATTTGTGCTGCTGGTAATTTTCAACCTAGGTAGGCCAAACTCAAGAAAGTGAGGGATCTTAGCCATTTGCACTACTTTGAGTATATTGTAAACAATATTGAAGTGGCTGTACAACTTCATAGTAGTAATTTACTTGTAGTAAAAAGTCCATTTTCTTTTCTCTTTACTATTAGTCTTGCTCAGCACCATCATAGGTACAGGTATATTACATTATTCAATATATCTATAAATTAAAAAGTTATACTTACAACTGTAGAGAATTTGAAAGATAAATACAAACTTGTCCATAATCATTTCAACTCTCATAAACTTGCTGACATTGATGCAGTTCCATCCAGTTTTTTTTTCCTTATACTTTCTTTAAGCTGTCTTTTAAGAGTACTTTCCAATTTCGAGAATCACCAGTGAAGTAGTGTCATTCAAAAGCATATAGGAATTTTTGGAAACAAATAGTATACACATCTTTTGAAACTAATTGTGTCATGTAGATCCATACAGAAAGGTTGAAAGAACTCATAAAAATGAAGTAGATTTGAGCCAGAGGTGAGGGTGTTTAGTTCTGACCTGATCGAGCAGTTTGACCTGAGGTTGCTGGATTTTTTAAATTCATATCTGCATCTAACACATATATCTAAAGCCTATTGTAGCTATTATGCTTATTTTGATATGAGGGTAATTAGAGTATTCAGGTTAGTTTTTCTCAGTTACATCTTAACTGGTTGTACCAGTTTCTTTGGGCATCTCGATTCTGATGATTCAATCTATGTATGTAATTGGAGAAATAAAGATGAGAGCAATAACTTCTTCATGTAAATGTTTTCTCAAAGTCGTATTATTATAAGACTATAATTTTTAATATCTTTGAAGGTATGCCTTGAATGTGGAGAAGATTACTGTTCAGGATGCTTTGCCAAAATTCACCAGAAGGGGGCACTAAAGCTCCATAGAACAACTCTTTTGCAGGTAGGACTTTAAAATGGTTTACTTGTAGTGTGTATATGAAATGTTTCAACACAAATACATTTAAAACATGTTAAATTATCTAGAACTTAGGGTGATTTATATTAATTTCTAAAATCCTATTACGTACAGTCTTTACATATGTCGTAAAATTATTTTACTGAATGCTTTTTCTGGATTCTATTTTGCTATTTAAACTGTGTTTTAATGTAATTCCTGAAACATTTAGCTTGATTAGAGTTGTTAGATTATGCATTCTGTCTGTGAACTTGACATTTAAAAACTAGACAATAGTTTTATCTATTGTGGTTTCAAATGAACACATGGTTTAAGTATTTTTTTCTGTTTGGAAATAGAAATCTTGTGTTTTCTTTTCATGTTTATTTAAAAAAAATTAGTCTTTTATTTGTCCTTACCCATTATCCCTTAAATAAGCTTATCTCTCCAGTTTCAACTTTTCCTCGTATATATCCAAAACATATTTATCTTCATATAGTCATTGTTTTTTAAAGTGACCAAACTCAAACTCTGTCAGATGGTTTAAAATTCTAATATTTTTTCAATAAGTATGGTTAAATAAAGATATGACATTGTCCCAGGTACATTTAATGATGCACTGATTTGTTGTAGATTTCATTCATTGTACATAAGTCATTCAACAAATATTTATTGAATACTTTTTAGGAGGCAGTGTCTGTACTAGTCAATGGCCTTAAACAGATGAATAATACTAGGATCTTGTTCTTAAGGACCTGGAGATGAAAGTGAAAACCAAGAACCTTGTGTAACAGGTTAACATTTTAATATCTTGTAGGCAAAGGGAAGGAGATGATCAGATCCATATTCAGAAACATTTCCATCTTTACTTGTTGCTTCAATATAAATATTTTTTAATATTTAACTCTCAAGGATGTTGACAACCCAAGTTATGATAACCACAAAACATAAAATAGGCCTCCCTCCTATCAGTTATTTACCTAAGTTGGATGCTTCTGAGTAGCTACTCAACGTTTACAGAGAGCCTCCCGGCTGAAATGCTTGAGGGAAAAAAACCCAACCCACCACCTGCTATTCCCCTGCCTCAGGTAGGATTGCACAACTTAGACACATAAGAAGTGAAAATTACTGTATATAAAATTGAGTGTAATTGTTAACATAAAAATAATAATTACCCCACTATTGAGTTCATATTAGGAATTTTCCATTCAAGTGACTTATTGGCATGTTTTCTGATTTAGTGAATTTACATGCTGCGCTAACTGGTGTGAGAACTACAAAGGAAATGAGACATGGCTCCTTCCTTTAACTTTAGTATTCGATATTAAATATTTATCCTGATTATCTTTTCTCCTTCACTCTCTTCTCTTTTTTCTTACTCTCCTCTTTTCTTTTTCTTGCTCTCTCACATATACACACACAAAATTACAAAAGAAGTCAAATTTTTTTGTGATGTGGCTAATTGTTATCCAGAGGCAGGTATGATATGAGTCAAACCATGCTTATTAAAAGCATCATGGCATAGTATATCCTTTCTAAACATTTAGTGTTTTCCTATTCTGTATTTTATTTTATTAAGGTATCATTGATATACAATCTTAGGAAGGTTTCCAATGAGCAATACTGTGGTTTCAACATTGACCCATATTATAAAGTCCTCCTACCCCACCCCGCTGCAGTCACTGTCCATCAGCATAGCAAGATGCCATAGTCATTACTTGTCTTCTCCATGCAGTACTGCCTACATATATTATGTGTGCTTAATTGTAGTGCCCCTTAATCTCCTTCTCCCTCCCACCCACCCTCTCGAACCCCTCCCTTTTGGTAACCACTAGTCCTTTGCTGGTGTTTGTGAGTCTGCTGCTGTTTTGTTCCTTCAGTTTTACTTCATTGTTATACTCCACAAAAGAGTGAAATCATTTGGTACTTGTCTTTCTCCGCCTGGCTTATTTCACTGAACATGATACCATCCAGCTCCATCCATGTTGTTGCAAATGGTAGGATTTGTTTTCTTCTTATGTCTGAATAATATTCCATTGTGTATATGTAGCACATCTTTTTTATCCATTCATCTACTGATGGACACTTAGTTTGCTTCCATATCTTGGCTATTATAAATAGTGCTGCGATAAACATAGGGTTGCATGTGTCTTTTTGAATCAGGGGTCTTGTTTTCTTCTGGTAAATTCCTAGGAGTAGAATGCCTGGGTCAAATGGTATTTCTATTTTTACTTTCTTGAGGAACGTCCATATTGCTTTCCACAATGGTTGAACTACTTTACATTCCCACCAACAGTGTAGGAGGGTTTCCCTTTCTCTGCATCCTCACCAATATTTATTGTTCTTAGTCTTTTTGATACTGGCCATCCTAACTAGTGTGAAGTTATATGTCATTGTGGTTTTTATTTGTATATCCCTGATAATTATTGCTGTGGAGCATCTTTTCATGTGCCTGTTGGCCATCTGAATTGCTTCTTTGGAGAACTGTCTGTTCAGCTCCTCTGCCCATTTTTTAATCGGGTTATTTGCTTTTTGGTTGTTGAGGTATGTGAGCTCTTTATATATTTTGGATTTTAACCCCTTATCGGATGTGTCATTTATGAATATATTCTCCCATACTGTAGGATGACTTTTTGTTCTACTGATGGTGTCCTTTGCTGTACAGAAGCTTTTCAGCTTGAGATAGTCCCATTTGTTCATTTTTGCTTTTGTTTCCCTCACCTGAGGAGATGTCTTTAGGAAAAAGTTGCTCATGTTTATATTCCAGAGAGTTTTGCCTATGTTTTCTTCTAAGAGTTTTATGGTTTCATGACTTAAATGCAGGTCTTTGATCCATTTCGAGTTTACTTTTGTATATGGGGTTAGAAAATAATCCAGTTTCATTCTCTTACATGTAGCTGTCCAGTTTTGCCAACATCAGCTGTTGAAGAGGCTGTCATTTCCCCATTGTATATCCATGGCTCCTTTATTGTATATTAATTGGTCAAATATGCTTGGGTTTGTACCTGGGCTCTATTTCATTGGTCTATGGGTCTTTTCTTGTGCCAGTTCCAAATTGTATTGATTAATGTGGCTTTGTAGTAGAGCTTGAAGTTTGGGAGCATAATCACCCCAGCTTTATTCTTCCTTCTCAGGATTGCTTTGGCTTTTCAGGGTCTTTTGTGCTTCCGTGTGAATTTTAGAACTATTTGTTCCAGTTTGTTGAAGATGCTGTTGGTATTCTCATAGTGATTGCATTGAATCTGTAGATTGCTTAAGGCAGGATGGCCATTTTGACAATATTAGTTCTTCCTATCCATGTGCAAGGGATATATTTCTAAGTATTGGTGTCTTCCTTTTTTCTCTAATGAGTTTCTTGTAGTTTTAAGGGTACAGGTCTTTTACCTCCTTGGTTAGGTTTATTCCTAGGTATTTTATTCATTTTGATGCAATTGTGAATGGAATTGTTTTCCTGATTTCTCTTTCTGCTAGTTCATCGTTAATGTATAGGAACGCAGCAGATTTCTGTGTATTAATTTTGTATCCTGCAACTTTGCTTAATTCAATTATTAGTTCTTGTAGTTTTAGAGTAGATTCTTTAGGAATTTTTATGGACAATATCATGTCATCTGCAAATAGTGAGAGTTTACAATCTTCCTTACCAATCTGGATGCCTTTTATTTCTTTGTGTTGTCTGATTGCCATGGCTAGGACCTCCAGTACTATATTCAATAAAGGTGGGGAGAGTGGATATGCTTGTCTTGTTTCTGATCTTAGAGGAAAAGTTTTCAGCTTTTTGCTGTTAGTATGATGTTGGCTGTGGATTTTTCATATATCGCCTTTATTATGTTGAGGTACTTACCCTCTATACACATTTTGTTGAGAGTTTTTATCATGAATGGATGTTGAATGTTGTCAAATGCATTTTCAGTATCTGTGGAGATGATCATGTGGTTTTTGTCCTTCTTTTTGTTGATGTGGTATGTGATGTTGATGGATTTTCAAAAATTGTACCAGCCTCGCATTCTTGGAATAAATCCCACTTGATCATGATGGATGATCTTTTTGATGTATTTTTGAATTTGGTTTGCTAATATTTTGTTGAGTATTTTTGCATCTGTGTTCATCAGGGATATTGGTTTGTAATTTTCTTTTTTTGTCAGGTCTTTGCCTGGTTTTGGTATTAGGGTAATGTTGGCTTCATAGAATGAGTTTGGAAGTACTCCTCCCTCTTCTACTTTTTAGAAAACTTTAAGGGGGATGGGTAGTAGGTCTTCTCTAAATGTTTCATAAAGCCATATGGTCCAGGGGTTTTGTTCTTAGGTAGTTTTTTTTATTACCAATTCAATTTCATTCCTGGTAATTGACCTATTCATATTTTCTGTTTCTTTCTGGGTCAGTTTGGATGGTTGTATTTTTCTAGAAAGTTGTCCATTCCTTCTAGGTTATCCAGTTTGTTAGCATATAATCTTTCATTATATTATGAATTCTTTGTATGTCTGTCATATCTGCAGTGATTTTTCCTTTCTCATTTCTGATTCGGTTTATGTGTGTAGACTCTCTTTTTTTCTTGATAATTCTGGCTAGAGGTTTATCTATTTTGTTTATTTTCTTGAAGAAACTGGTTCCATTGATTCTATTGTTTTATTCTTTTCAATTTTATTTACTTCTGCTCTCATCTTTATTATGTCCCTCCTTCTACTGACTATGGGTCTCATTTTTTCTTCTTTTTTGAGTTTCATTAATTGTGAGTTTAGATTGTCCACTTGGGATTGTTCTTCTTTCTTGAGGTAAGCCTATATTGCTATAAACTTTCCTTTTAGAACTGCCTTCACTGCATCCCACAGATTTTGGGGTGTTGAGTTGTTGCTTTCATTTGTCTTCTTTTATTGCCTGATTTCTGTTTTTATTTGCTCATTGATCCATTGATTATTTAGGAGTTTGTTGGTAAGCCTCCATGTGTTTGTGAGCCTTTTTGTTTTCTTTGCATAATTTATTTCTAGTTTCATACCCTTTTGGTCTGGGCT